GCCTTAATGATCTGGCCCAGTTTATTCCTGTTTCTAAGAAAAAATTGCTTCCAGGAAAAGCCCTTTCATCTTCAGTTTTGTTCTGCTGCGGGGTTATTGGTTGTTGGGGTGAGCAGAGTGATTTATTTATATTGGAAATGTGTTTCTCTCTAACACTCACATTGCTGGTAGTTTCATGAATGAATAAGTGGCAGGATTACAAAGCAGGCACATTCTTTAAAAAATTTTAGAAATATGGCCAGATTTCATTATTAAACCTCGTGGAAGCTGTGTAGAGACATGTTTTCCATGGGTGTATCCTACATATTTCAGTAAATCGTGATTTCTGGCGAGGATAATGTGTTCTAGAGAAATGATTCGGAGCTGAACTGCTTATCAGATGAGTGGGAAGACCAAGCTATTCCTGCTGCAAGCCGCTGCCTGGGATGGAGACAAATGCCTGTCAAATGTGTTTATTTTCCTTAATCACTTTAATTTTCAGAGTCTCCGATAGAAACTGCACTTAAAGTGTTTTGCGGTATAAAAGCCATTTTACATTCGCTTCTATGTAACAACGAATTTCCTTGTCTGGAGGTGCTGCCTTGCTGGGATCACTCTTTGAGGAAAAATGGGGGGAGGTTTTTCAGGGGGAGGTTTTTCAGGGGTGGTCACTTATCCAGGGCACTGCAGGCTCTGTGGCTTGGTCCGGAGTGACACGACACCAAATGCAAAGTTAAAGAGTTTAAATCCGGTCGGGAACTGCTGCTGCCTTGATTATTAGGTGTGAGTGGCTGCGAGCCGGGAATTGCTGCTCTCCCCTCGGTTTCTGGGTGGAGCACGGAGTGTTGGTCATGGACCATAAAGCTTTCACTGATTTAGTGCTGGGGAGGCTGCTGAGCTTTGCCTGCATCTCTCCTGCCACGCTTAATGAGCAGAGCTTCATTAAGGCAGGAGATAAAGCAGCCCTCACCTCTGGCACCTGCTGCCAGCTCAGTTCCACCTCCTGGGAGTGAATAAAATATCCCCCGTGTTGGGGTTAGCTGGGCATGGCCCCCCTTCCTCCTACAGTTCTGGGGATAAATCAAAGGTATTTTCAAAGAAAAAATATTTAGGTTGCAAATGGTACCTTTAGAAACTCTTTTTCTTTTGTGTGTATGTGTGATAATTGCTTTAATTTGCTGTAAAGGCCTCTGGAGTCAAGCTTAGGTATTTTTAGATGGTGTCATAAATCAAAGCAAAGCCAGAACTGAATAAAAATAATTTAAGACAAAGGAATTGAGATTTATTGTTATCCTTAGTAGGTTGGGAAGGTCAGGTTTTAAAATGTGGTCTTGTGGCCAAAATCTAATTGGGTGAAATTAATGAAAGCAGCTTGTGACCAGTGAGATTTCGTTTTAACTTTTATGTAAGTTATGAAAGAAAAAGTACTCCAGTTTATTGCAGCTTGCTCTTCTCTCTCAAGATTTTATCAGCTCTACAACATCAACTTCCACAACAATTCCAAAATTGATTCATTGTTCTTTGTGAGCCTTCTTTTGTTGTTTAATTAGAGGGACAATACAGCAACGCTTCGTGTGCTTGGGCAGAAAACTTTCCAAGTCCTTCCTGCACTAGGAGGGTTGTGCAGCATGGGAGCACCAGAGAGGCGGTGGGACCTCCATCCTGGGAGCTTTGCAGGACATGGCCAGGCCATGCCAGGGCTCCCCTGAGCCCACGCTGGCAGCAATCCCACTCCAAGTGGGACCCCCCACCATCTGCTCCTTCTTTATACAGAAAGGGAAGCAGCCTGATGGAAAGAACTGTTGGGCTAGAGGCAAGGATCCAGCAGTTTAGGATAGAAGTATTTGGTTAAAGCAGTTCAGTGTTCAAGTATTTATTGAATAAATGAAAAAAAAAAGGCTGTCTACATGTATGGTATTGATTATGTCTAATTATTGATTAGACATATGGTGAAGCTGTCACTGTCTTGTCACAGCTGTGGGTTGCAGCCTAGCCCTGGCTAGGAGGGAATATTGTTATCCCTCCAAACAGCACCTGGATATTGGTTTTAGTCTGGGTTTGAAGTCTCAGGGTAGAGGCATCAACTCCTGAAAGAAAAAACACTTTGTCTGCAGACAAGAGAGAGGAACCTCTGAAAGAGGGAGCACAAAACCAACAGCAAAAGCCACCCAGCTCTCTGCCTGTCCTCAGGGACTGTAGTGTGGCAGTGCTGGGTAACCTTGGACTACCAGCTGGGTCCTGTGGCCCCAGGTGAACCCTGCTCATCCCCCCATGTGTTTTATCTTTGCTGTTTCCTTAGGGGAAAGGGTTCCCAGCATAAGGGTTTTGTCAAACCTGCCATCATCGGAGATGCCTGAGGCCCCCCTTTTGCAGGCAGAACACTCATTATTTCTCCCAAAAAGAGCTCAGACCTGATGTGTGTGAGCTGCACAGTGCTGGACTCCTCCATTTAACCTTCCCCTCTAGGGAAAAGTACACTCTGTGTTCCTTCTCTTTTATGCTTGCCCTCCTGTCCTGCTCTCCCAGCAGCGCTCCGGCGTTAATGGAGGTCCGTGGCATTTCCCTGGGATGCTGCAGTGAAAGGAAGAGCTGCCTTGGATGGATGGCCCCAAGTGATAATAGAGCACTGAATGCCTCCCCTGCCCTTTATGCCTTCCTCTTCCTGACACTTTAATTATTTTTGCTCCCCATTTTATTGGTGGGGCTGTGAATCACTGACCCAGAAGGGTGTGAAGGTGTGATCCCTGGCTGTAATGCCAAACAGTGGGATTTGGGAGGCAGCTCTCCCATAGCTTATAACACATGGTCAGGTTCAAACCTGGCTTTAGTAGGACGACATCCCTTTTTTCTTCATTAGTTCCCTGCTCTTTTCACAGCTCTGGTGCTCTGTCTGATTAGCAGTTGCTGCTGTGTCGTGGCAGGAGCGGCGCTTGGGCTCCAGCAGCCCTTCAAACCCCAGGGAAGCAGCTCTGGCTAATGGTGCGTGGCCTTGCAGCATCACGTGCTGCTTCCCCAGCTTCTCTTGCAGGGTTCAGGTACCACTAATGATTCATGACAGCAGAAAGGTACAAAGGGGAAGGTGGCTTTACAGCTCAATTCAACAGCAGCACAGAAATTCCATAAAAACCAAGCTTGTCTCAGTTGGAAGGCTGAAGTTAGGAGATAACAGGCACTTCTGGGCTTTGTATGTTTTGCAGTTTTTAATTAAAAACCCAAAATCTGCATGTTCTTATTCCTTATATGGGCTGGATGAGCAGAATGAGATAATTGAAGGTTTCAAAAGCAATTACAAACTGTCATATCCTAATTTTTAAGTACTTGACTTTGCAACCTCAGTGATATCTCTCTCTCCAATTAAAAATCCCATATATAGACAATTAACGTGGTTTACTACAGGATGAATCTAAAAACTTTTTGTCTTCAGTGACTTCAGGCTATCACCAGGGTAAATGAGATTGCTTTTTTCCCCTCTTTTTTTTTGAATTGTGGAGAAAAATCAGTGCTTCACTCTAGGTATTGCTGGATGAAAAATATCAAGGTTCCAAAAGCAATGAATGAATCAATTCTGGTCTAAATAAAGATGTTTCGAGTTTCATATGCACATGTTTCCTTTCTCCTGTCTTCATTGTGTCTCGCCATGCTTTTACTGAAAAGCAATTTGCAAAACCCTCTAGTTTAATCTTTGATTTGTAATTGCTGAAATATGGACCCTTCCCTGTGATTCCTCTTGGTACCAGTGAGGTGATATTCATCTGCATTGCTCTGATGCCATTTTTCTTCCCAGCATATTCCCAATATTGAACCTATCCTCCCTTCCTTCTACATTTCTTCATCTCCTCCCTTCCCCTGCCTTTTTCCTTTCCCCCACAGCTCTCAGGTCTGCGGGTTTTAAATAAGGAATGCAATGTGAAAAATTCCTGGGTGAAAGTTCCATCTGGGATGCATTTGGCCCACAGATTGCATGTGAGCCTTTTGGCAAGGCTGTCTTGTTCTTTTACTGAAAGCAGAGGCTCCAACTCAGCCTGCCTGTGCAGAGCAGCCCCGGGGGACTGCAGAGAGGTTGTGTCATGCTGGCTAATCCTGATGATGAGAATGGATTGAATGGAGAGAGGAAGTGGATGCCCTTTTCTTTTCCTGCTTAGTATTTACCATGTCAATTAGTTGTAAAAAAAAATGTCCAAAACCCCAAAAAAACACAGAAAAACCCACAGCTGAATAAAAAAGCGCCGGTGCAACAGAGGAGCTGTGCATGGTTTTGGTGCAGAAGCGTCACAGAATCATAGAATATCCTGATTATGATAAGTGATGGGAAATATTTCTGCATCCTGCCATGCCTCAGGGGGTACAGCATCCATACCATATTGCTATCTATGTATCTTGAAAAAATCCTGCTCCACTTTCAACTGAGTAATCAAAAGAGGATTTTTTTCATCTTTTTTTCAAAGTGCAGCAGTCAAAAGGAAACCTCTTATCTATCTGAGAATTCAATATAACTTTGGAAACAAAAGAAAATGAAATCAGCAACTGTAGGTCTCAAAGCAACACTGATTTTAATAATGTAAACTTCCTTCTCTAATGAGTAATAAGCAGTTCCATCTTTCACAGCCTTTTAAAATTGCTTTTAGTAAGGGGCTGGATTGTTTTAATCCTTTTCAGTATGTAAAGCCCCAGATATTTCAATCCCTTAGGGCCTCAGTATTTCCTAGCTCCCTTCCTTTGAAAAGGCAGAGGAAAACAGCTTTCAGAAAACTGACAGAATCTGTGACTGATAAAATTTAGGGGTTTTGTTTTTTTTTTTTTTTTTATCCTGAAAGTGACCCAAAAGTGTCAGTTAAGAAAAAGATCTCTGGCATCCCATCCTGTGGATTAGTAGCAAACAGGCATATCATCTAGGTACAGTAGCTCTTTGTACTCTGACCTACTTGTTTCTGTTCTGGTTTGTTCCTTCTTGAAAGGTTATTTGGAAGAGATGCAGGATTTGCTCCCTGAACAGCTAAAGCAGTATCACCTGCCCCAGGAAGGGTTTCCTTCTGAAATGGGCCCTGGCACAATGGGGCTGCCAACGCCTGAAACGTTCTGCTCTGCTGCATAATCAGAATGAAAACTCAACAAATACGTTAAGGTAGTTTTTTTCTGGAGGATGCTTTTCCCAAGGAAGGGTTAAGAGAGCTTTTTCTGGAATCTTGTATTTGTGGGGTGTGGTACTGAATTCACCTCAATCACATGATTTTTACATGGTCAGCAATGAATTGTCACTGTTGTCCTGTACCCACCAGCCCTGCTGTTGAATTGTGTGTGTGCAGAGCAGCTAACTGAGCTGTGTTTTCCTTTTTCTTAGATATTTCCAGAAAGTGCCTCGAGGAAGCTTCCTTATGTAGAAAAAGCCCACAAGAAACACAGTGTGTGCTTCCTGGCAGCTCGTGAAGCAAAGCTGTCACAATGGCAGAGAACAAGGACAGCAGCGCGAAAAACGCAGATGTGAGGCCCAAAAGCAGCCGGAGCAGGAGTGCAGACAGAAAGGATGGATATGTCTGGAGTGGGAAAAAGCTCTCCTGGTCCAAGAAAAGTGAGCATTGCCCTGATGCTGAAACAGCAAATGCTGCAGGAAGGTCGGGGACTAATTTAAGGAGCCAAGAGAGGAAGTACAGCTGCTCGTCCATCGAGCTGGATCTAGACAGGTCCTGTGGGCACAGGTTTTTGGGGCGCTCTCTCAAGCAGAAGCTGCAGGATGCTGTGGGTCAGTGCTTTCCCATAAAGAACTGCAGCAGCCGGCACGCCTCAGGACTGCCATCCAAAAGGAAGATCCATATCAGTGAGCTGATGCTGGATAAGTGTCCTTTCCCTCCTCGCTCAGAGCTGGCTTTCCGCTGGCACTTGATCAAAAGGCACACGGCCCCTATAAGTCCAAAGGCAGAAGAATGGATAATTGCAGATTTATCCCAGCACGAGGAAAGGGAGGACCAGCTGCGAGACGAGGAGATTGCCAATGGGGGGATGGACTCTCCCTCCCAGTCCTGTGACTTCACTGACAGCAGCTCCTCTCGGGGGGACCCGAGGCCCGAGCTGGTGACAGGTAAGGTGGCAAGGAGCAGCAGGGATGAGAGTGACATGGACTCCGATGATGAAGTCATAACCCTGTGCACAAGCTCTCGGAAACGAAACAAGCCCAAGTGGGAAACGGATGACGAGCTGCTGCGGATGGAAACGCCCCCGAAATACCACACCCAGATTGATTATGTCCACTGCCTAGTGCCAGACCTCCTCCAGATCAATAACAACCCCTGCTACTGGGGAGTCATGGATAAATACGCCGCCGAGGCGCTGCTGGAAGGGAAGCCAGAGGGAACGTTCCTGTTGCGAGACTCTGCCCAGGAGGACTATTTGTTCTCCGTCAGCTTCCGCCGCTACAGCCGCTCCCTCCACGCCCGGATAGAGCAGTGGAATCACAACTTCAGCTTTGATGCCCATGACCCCTGTGTCTTCCATTCTCCTGACATCACGGGGCTCCTAGAACACTACAAAGATCCGAGCTCCTGTATGTTCTTTGAACCACTTTTATCCACTCCCCTGAACAGGACCTTTCCCTTCTCTCTCCAGCATATATGTAGAACGGTCATTTGCAACTGTACAACTTATGATGGTATCGATGCACTTCCCATTCCTCCCTCGGTGAAGCTGTATCTCAAGGAATATCATTATAAGTCAAAAGTTAGAGTGCTCAGGATTGATGTACCAGAGCAGCAAAGCTAGAAAATATTTTTGTGAAAGAAATTTTCTCCCAACAGACAATAGTATGTTCAATCTCTTTTCCTTCTAGGTTTTTTTTTTTAATAGCGACTTGATTATTTTTTCTTTTTCTGGATATTATTTACCACCCAAACTAGTCTCTGTTTAAATGTACTTTTGAGTCTGCACAGCTCTCTTTTTTAGAAATTATATTCATTGTGGGCTTTTGGTACTGTCCCTAGGCTAGAGTTTTATGGAATTCCAGGTAGGCTTTCTGGTATTTCTATAGATGGATAGACATTAGATCTAAAACCCCCTGAAAATCAGTTTTGAACTTGATCTGTCTTTTCTATTGTAGTTGACACGTGTTGCTGACATGATTGAAATAATGCACTGTTAACTAAAGATTGACTCATCTGTATTTTCTGCATTTCTTTTAAAATGAGTGCTCTAGCCTCTGTGTCTGTGTGTCTGTCTGTCCCTATCCACTGCAGTAAATTTGTCAGTCTATTTCTAACATTACTATTCCAAGCAAAATGAAGTTTGAAAGAGGATATGATCTTTCTATAAATATATCAGGGGACTAAATACCAGGGAGAGGAAAAACAATTCAAGTTAAGGACAACACTGAGTGCAGGAACAAACATGTATAAACTGGTCCTGGAAAGGTTTTGGTTGGAGAGGAGGAAGACTCATCGTCGTCAGAGCAGCAGGGTTCTGGAAGAGCTTTTAATTTTGTGTAAGAGCAGTAAAAAGCAAACTGCTCATAAACTGGGATTTGATCAGTGTCTGGAAGAGATAATCATGTAGTTACTTATGATAGATAGATGGGGCTTGGACTTGGGAACTCTGTTTCTGTGTTACTGTTGCATTATATGAATTACCCAGTTTTTGCTGTAGGAGCTGCCGCTGCTTAAATGATAAAGCACAAGGGTGGGAGGGTAGGAAGGAAGATATTTCCTTTAAAATCTGCATATTTAACCATCTGATTCTGCATGGTTGAGCCTGAGGTGATGGTGAATAACTTTCCTACTTTGTTAGTAGGGGGGTTGTTTTTTTAATAAGTATAATTTAAAAAGAAAACAACTCTGCTGATTTTCTTGCAATGTGAAGCATTTGGCCGAATGGCTTCCTGCCAAATTCCATGTACGGGAAAACCCTGCATGGATAATGCTCCTAAAAGCATTACTTACATTGCATGGACAGGCAGATCTGCTGCTGAGCTGTTGGTGGAATCCCACGGGGCTCAGTGGATGTGGGTTCAGGCAGGAAGCTCCAGGCTGGCCTCGGGGTGCAGCTGCAGGTCTGATCCCTGTTCCTGCTTTATCTCCTCTCCCAAACTGGGCTCAGAACGCCTCTGCCAAAAGAATGTGAGATGGTGTAATTGTAACTCCAACAACCACATTGTTCCCTCTCCTTTGACTACAGGGAGCCTTTGTATCCTCTCAAAATGCTTTTGAAACTGAGCCCCAAGACTGCTGAATTACAAATGTGTTGAATTTCATGCATGTGAAGGATCCTGTCAAAAAATCAGCAATGACCTGTGGGTGAGGTTATCACTGCATGATGGGGTTGGAAGGGAGCTCTGGAGAAGATCTCATCCAAGCCCCTGCTCAAGCACAGGATCACATCCAGGTGGGTTTTGGACATCTCCAGAGTAGGAGACTCCACAACCTCTCTGCACAGCCTGTTCTAGGCCTCCATCACCTGCACAGTAAAGAGGTTTTTCCCCATAATCAAATGGAACTTCCTGTGTTTCAGTTTGTGCCTGTTGCTCCCTGTCCTGTCTCAGGGCACCACTGGAAGGAGTCTGTTCCCATCCTCCTGACACCTGCCCTTAAGGTATTTGTATGGATTGACTGGTTCCCCTCTCAGCTGTCACTTCTCCAGAGTTGATGCCCAGCTCCCTCAGCCTTTCCTCACAGCAGAGATGCTCCAGTCCCCTCAGCACCTTCACAGCCCCTCACTGGCCCACTCCAGTAATTCCTTGTATTTCTTGTGCTGAGCAGCCCAGAACTGGACACAGCAGTCCCAGCTGAGCCCTCACCAGGGCTGAGGAGAGGGGCAGGGTCACCTGCTGGCCACACTGTCCCTCATGCAGCCCAGGATTCCATTGGCCTTCCTGGCCACAAGGACACAGTGCTGGCTCACCCCAGCTCCTTCTGCACAACTCTGCTTCCAGCAGCTCAGCCCCAGCCTGCACTGGTGCATGGGGTCATTGTTCCCCAGGGTAGGGGCACCCTGCTGGAGCTTCCCTGGGTCCTCCCTGCCCAGCTCCCCAGCCTGCTCTGGGTCTGGCTGAGTGTCAGCACAGCCTGTTGGTGTGGCAGCCACTCCTCCCAGCTCTGCCTCACCAGCAAACCTGCTGGGGGAACACTCTGTCCCTTCATCCAGGGTGGTGAAGAAGCTGAACAAGACTGGACCCATCACTGATCCCTTGGGAATCTGTGTGCAGGCAAGGAGCAGTAGAGCACAGTGCTGTAGAGCCTGGATCCAAGATTGCAGACTCAGACTAAGCAATATTTCTATTGGGATCTTTTCATTTCACCTTGTATGGATTCCTGTAGATTTGTGGATTTCCAAATCCATGCTGCAAGGTGGCAGCTCAGGAATTACCAAGGGAGCTTTGCCATGCAACTCCACCAGGAGCTGCCACCCTGCCCTTACCCCCAACCTGGGCAGATAAAACCCTTTCCACTGAGCTGCTGCCACTGTGGTGATGTAAACAGATTTCCAGGGACATCTGCCTAGAGACCAGCCCGTTTGTTTCTCTGGGTTTTAAATAGGTTTGGAACCAAAGTCTCCAGGGAGAAAATGCTAACACATCAATCTGTGGCATCGCACACGGGTGAGCGCGCTCCAGGACGAATTCTCAGCTGCTATAAATCACTGTGGCTTTATTGATACACTTCCAGTGGCTCATCCCAGCTGAGATCCTCCCTCCTCCATATCCAAATGGAACTGTGGGACTGATGGCAGAAAAATCACCCTGGTTTTTTTTCTGTAATTTTTATCTCGTGCTGCTTCCATTCATTGAATTTTGCATAAACTGTATTTTATCAAGGGCAAATTTATATTGCTAAGTCTATTTTACCCTGTCACTGCCATTTTCCAGGTTCATAATTTGCTCTGCTCTTGCCCACTGTGCCCATCACGGTGGGATGGTGGGCTGGGATTTGGGGGGCTGCAGTAGGAAGGAAGAGTTTCTGGTTCAAGATATGGAGTGACATCAGAGATATTTGCAGTCTGCTTGATTAAAATTCTCTTTCAGAAACTCCTAATTAGGGAAAAAAGCTCATCATTTTAGATAGGATGATGATAAATAAATAGCATTATTTTTATGGCAGGAGCACAAAAATTAGATTTTGACCAAAAGCTGTGCTTCAGAAGTTAGTGAAGGCCACTGTCATTTTCAAAATCAGCAAAGATTGTGCCCCTACAAAATGAAAAGCCAAATAAACCTTTTTTTGGGGTATCATTCCCCAACACACTGTGTTTCAGTGTCATTCTGGATTCAGCCTACATTGTTTTGACATGAGTGGATGCATCACTTACCCCAAAAACATCTTGAGCACTCCAAATTTAGGAGACCTATATAATACAGCAGTTGGGGGAAGAAGGTATGGTACATAAAAATAATGCCTTTGGACTGGGGGGCAGTTAATTGCATTAGTTTAGAGAAATCATATGTGGAAAGTATTGATAAATGGGATTTTGTGAAAGTTCTCACTATTTTTTCCTGATTTTTGTCCACCTGTGTGACATTTGTCCCTAACAACACTTGAGTTGTGTCACACATGCATTCTGTGCAAGATCCATGCCATGAACTGTTTCATACCTGTTTCATGAAACAGAAGAACTCAAAAGGTCTGTTTTGTTTCAACCCATTTACCTTTTTTTCTCTTCTTTCCCTCTCTGTTTTAAATAAACCTGGCAGGACTGGTTTTACAATATGCCAAGAATTGTCACCCTAAAGTTTTCCTCCCACTGCTGTCATTGTCAGTCCTACCAGTGCTGCTCATTCCAGTGCCACCTTAGAACACCTTGGCCCAAAGACAAGCAAGTCTTGAGTTCAGTTTTGAAACCCTCTTAAAAATTAGCCTCAAAAACAGGGTAAGAACTTCTGTTTTCTAAAATCACAGAATCCCAGAATGGTTTGGGGTGAAAGGAACCTCACAGATCATGCAGTTCCACCCCCTGCCATGGGCAGGGACACCTTCCACTGGCCCAGGTTGCTCCAAGCTCCATCCAACCTGGCCTGGAACACTTCCCAGGATGAGGAATCCTCAGCTTCTCTTCTCAGCCCAAATCCTGCCAAGACAGAAATCCCCCATTCTTCAGGATGAAGATTTAAAGTGGAACAAGGGAAGGTGCAGAGATGTGCCCAAGCCCAGGTGTTCAAGATTATGAAGGCCAGTGGATGAGCAAGGTCATAAATCCAGAGGTGACTCTGGTCACACCTCCCCTGTTTGGGCCACCCAACCAGCTTTGCATCAGGAATTGTGTCTGCAAGATGTGCTTTGAGTTGTTTTGAAGGTTGTCCCACAGCAGCACAGTGGAAACAGAGTGTATTGAATTGTTGTGAACAGTTCTGGTTAAAAAAAATCTGATTTTCCTAAATTATTTTGATGTAAGAGAGAGGGAAATGGTCAGGCTATTGATGCACACCAGGCAAACTACATATACAAGTTATTTTTACAGGATGGTTTAGGAAAAAATTAAACATTCTTTCCACTAATTGTATCCTCTGGAGTTTGCTGTTGCCTGGAATGACTTTTTGCAGGTCTGTACCAATGTCACTCATTGGCCTGGGGCCATCGATACAGAGCAACTTCAGCTGCAGCAGAGTCATTGATGGGCTTGGGATGGTCTGTGAGTCTGATAATTGGGAATGCACATTTCTTCTCCATTTTCCTATTCTAGCATTTGTCTTGATGAAATCCACATCAAGAAATTTGTGTATTTGGATACATATATGTGTATCTATAGCAGCACATCCAACTTAAAAAAAAAAAAAACAGACCAACAAATTATCATGATTTAAATGCTTTCCTTTTAAAGATGCTGGTGGGCTTCCAGCATAAAGAAGAAATCCTTGTATGATGCAGTCATACAGAGCCTTACTATAAAATTGACATGCTCTTAAATAATTAAAAACGGGGATACTTTAATTTTGAAAAAGGATGCTGGAGGAAGGAGGTTAAAGGAAGCTTTTAGTCAGATCCAAGGTTAGATTTATTGATCTAGTGATCAATCCTTTTCTCTTTCCTGAATTTAAAGCTAATGGGAGACTGTGGTCAGAGATGAGTGGCTTTTAGTTAAGGTTTTTGACTCTTATAAATAATACAACAAATGTCCTAGTAAGTAATAAGAAATAAGATACTCGCTCATTCTTTTTAAATAGAACAAACGTGGCAAACAAGACTCAGCTGTAATTTTTGAAGTCATTTATTAGACA